AGATGTGTATAAGAGACAACGTCAAGAGAGGCCTAGGCCTCGCTAGTAGAGGCCTGTAGTATTTCAGTGAGCATCCCTGTTGGGGTCGGCGGTGCGGTGCTAGCCCACTGTTCTTTTAATTAGGCCTAGCTGCAGCCAGATAGCTTAAATAGCCTGTATACGTAGTATTGAATTTTATCTCCTATTTTTCTAAATATACAGTTTAATATATTTATAATTATATTTTTCTGCAGATAGAGTAAGCAGTCAGCGCAGGGATTGTGTTCAGAAAATGGTCCAGTATTTTGTTTCTCAGATTGCAATCATCAGTGTCAGATGCAAACCATTTTAGATTCTCCTGAAGACCTAATGGAGAAAAAGGATGGATAAAGCCGGCCCGATTCAGATTAATGTTACAGTAGTACTTTTTTAGCAATAACATTATTCATGTGCCTAAAGGAGTGTTTAAGTAAACTTATTGATTTCTTTTTAGCGTTTAATATAAAATTAAACCAATCCAGTCTGGCACATGTACATGAAATAATGAACAAAGTTATAATAAACTATGGAATTTGTAAATTATTTTAAATACTGAATTTGTGTCTGTATTTTTTCCTGCAACTGCACGATAGAGCGAGTTGATATTGCTTGATCATGGTGAGTGTCAATGAGCATACAGTATTAACATTGCTATTATTTACAGTATTTGATTGTATGATGTATGATATGCTTGCATATACTAAGATTAAAAGGATTGCAGACAATTCATGAACTTGTTTGTAAATAAAATATATTGTTTTTACACTTTCAAAATACAGCACAGTAAATGCAAATGTTATTTTCACAAACATTATACATAGGCCTACACTATACCTGTATTAACGTCTACAGTTCAGCAGTTGCGAGATACAGTGAGTTAAAATTGTTTGATATTGGGATGTGGCGATTAACATTTATGAAAACGTCAATCCTAAGTTTTAAAATAAAAATAAGTACATTACCCCTGTACTGACATTTCTTATTTTTGAAGTTGATAAATGGCATTGATATTGCTTGATTGGGTCAAGTGTCCTATTATTATTTATATATTTAAATCATATTATAAACGATAATTAAAATATGTGTAACATTACTGAAATTATATATCAAATAACAATATAAATTATCGATGAATTTTTTGAATGCTGGGCCTTTAGGCAATCTGTATAAAATCTTCTCTCTGTAACTGAAGAGCAATCTAGAACAAAGCACTCGGCCATTTTCTGAACACAATCTCCCTGCGCTGACTGCTTACTCTATCTGGAGAAAAAGGAAATATAAGAGATTAAAATCAATAACACACAGGCTAGTACAGCTATCTAGACTGCCAAGGACTACTTTAATAGCTAAGCCTAATTAATGAACAGTGGGCTAGCATCGCACCGCCACCCGAACTGGCATGCGCAGTGAAATCAGGTCTCTTCAAACGGGACCTAGCCTAGACTTTGACTGGAATAGAGTTAAGAATGGCGTGGTATTTAGCATTTATGCAAACTTGAAAATCACTTAATATAACAACAATAAATCACATAATAACTAAGTTAAAAAATAATAATAACTCGTGGATATCGTATCGTACATGTCTTCTACAAACATGATTTAAACTACGGCGGTGTACCCACGCCTAGGCCTACGATCGGAAAATTTTAAAATGCTAATTTTTATAACTTATGATTCTAAAACAAAGGTGAACTTACGATAGGCCTATATGATAAATAGATTATTTATTTTCAGTGCCTTTCCGGAATTAAATGGGGAAATGCAATATAAGTTACAGAAATGCGTTAAACTTGCCGGTTTACCACAGAATTGAGAACATCGGCGATCGCCCAAAAATGTCAGATGGGGACCGTTGGAGGATCGTCGATGCCACCTTCACCAGAAATCGCGGGTCTAGCATGTCGACAACCAATTGGGGATGTGACGTAAATCTATTTCCGGTCGCCTCGAAAGCGGTAGCGAACGCAGTTTGGACATTTTTTTTATCTAACACAATCTCGCTCACGACCCAGCATCTCAACCGCTCGCGATCGATGGAGACATGTGAACAAGACTTAGTGCAAGTTATCAGCGTAAGAACCAGGTTTATGTACATAAATAATTAATTAATTACGGTACCCAACTACTAGAATAATACAATTTGAATGCCGCGGGTTTATGGATAGCATACTTTAACTAGTGGTATGTTTTCATATTATCATCATTATTATTAATATTATTATAATTTTAGTGCTACTGTATTAAAAACTGTCTTAAAGACATAATACATGTTGAAATTAAATAAATGAACAAACTGAGACAGGTAAAATTACAAATTTTTGGTTGGTGTGACATGTATGAATTCGAGCCAAATCAACTCGATCCCAATCGCATTGTCATGGAGCCGAGTTATTAGAAATTGCAAGTGAAGTGCTGCGAAGTACAGCTGCATATAAATGTTCTTCGAACAAAATTATTTATGCGAGTGAAAATAATGAATAATAAAAATATAACAAATAATATGAGACACGACCCATTGTCTATATTACAACACTTCTCATTGGGTAACAAAGTCGTAATTTCTGTCTCTTATATTTTTAAATAAAGTTTCAAAAATTTCTATGTATGTGGAAAATGTAGTTGATTACCAAAGGTTACAATTTTTATTTTGAAGACTGCATAGTCTAGGAAGTGTACATTTTTTTATGGGGAAAGTTTCCAACGGCAGGTTTTCTATAGGAGCTAGTTGACTGCCAAAGTGTGTTGCCAAAGTGCGAGCCAGCGTATTATTTGATCAAGTGCGAGACATCGCAAGTGTGAGCCAGCGAGCATGACGTCACGACAATAGATACGAGACGTTACTCGAGTTGTGCGAGGTATTGGCTGAGATTTGTGGAGTACAATTCAAAAAACAACTATAGGTCTAATAAAGAATTATTGTGATGTTAAATAAACAAAGTTAGCTATCAAGGAGCGACGTTGTTTTTCATTGGGACCTTCGTCCCTTCAAGGCTAGGCCTTTACCATCCTAGCTAGTCTAGGCTTAGAGTAGGATAAGGCTAGCGCGACATGCGGGTGTTGGTACGTGTTGGTTAGTCTACAAACATCGCCTAAAGTAATTGATTTTACCCGGCAGAACGAAAGAAGGAAACTCCGCTTTTCAGTCGTCATAGGCCCTTGTTTTTTGACAAACAATGACCTTTCAGAGGTCAAATTGCTGTCAAGAATATGAATTGGCTGCTTCGCAGCAATAAACTGCAAAACAAAGCGTTTCCTGAATAGCCCAATCCCATATAAAAAAAAAAAAAAAAACAAACAAAAACAAAACACCAGGGCCCTTGACTGAGACTAGGCAAAATTTTACTGTTTACTTCATGAAAAAAAAAAACTATTAAAATCGGTCACTATAACGCCAAGCATTTCATTTCGATCCAGCTAACCGTAGATTTCTATTGTGGTATGAAATTCGTAGGAATATCCTGATGCATTAAAACAAAAAGCTGTAAAACGCTACTTCTTCATGTTCCTACAATACCCTATTAATGGACATTTAAGTAGAATTTTTATAAGATATGGGTTTCCGAAATCTAACAAAATAATGCACTGTACTGTCTGAGCTTGTGTGGACTTTCTGACCTTTTTGACGCCCACCCACCAAGGGTAATGCGAAAATTCACTCGTCACATTTTTGTATGTCTTTTGGATGGACCATACATTTCGTATGAGTGCCACTGTATTAAAAGTGAATCCAATAAATTGAATTGAACTGAACAAGAAAGAACAGTAGCTGTGGACGATTAACGCATGGGCTATCTCTCTCTGTTCTAAATTAAGAAAACCTCCCAACCTTGTTACATTGTCATTGGATTTTAAAAGTCACCATCAGCTCCCTAGATTTAACAATTTTGTTTCAGGGTTCAGTTTGTATGATTCTGTCTTTCTGTATTTAAGGGGTGATTAAAATATCTATGTAAAAATATAAAAACTATTGTATATTTGCTGGAAAAAATGAATATAGGTACGTATAGGATTACAAATTCCCATTTGCATATAGGGCCGTGACTGTACGTTTTGAAATGTAGTTTATATTAAAACAATGGACAATGGACAATGGAATGATGGGTGGGCACCTTACTGGATAAACAATTTCTGAATTTCTTTTGATTATCTGGACATGATGTTCATTTCTTGGTTGAATGCTGGTTCAAACATGCTCAAAATGAGACAAGCTCGTCGTAAAAGAAATCCAAGAAATGCTTTGGTGTATTTTAAAATTGATAAAACAACTTCCATAGTACCAACAGCCAAGGTTGTTCAGACATCCGACTTATTAAAAATCGGTCAAGAAGTAACGGTAAATTGGACAACTCAGCAGCAGTTTACTGGGGTAATTAAGTTTCTATCAGGTATGTGACATTTTCTATAGGCCTATCCTTAGTTTTGATACAGCAGATCATGAACGATGATGTGGTATTCGATATACAAAACAATACAAATATTGTTCTATCCTGTTTATACGTTTGTCGAGGGGACACTATGGCAGTTATGACCATTCAAAATAATTTACAGTAGGCCTATACTTTTTTTTTATTCATGCTAATTTTTGTCGGTCCTACTAAATACCACACGGAACCACTCGCGACCACACGGGTGCAAAAATGATAAAAATACTTAAAAAAACTACTTAATAATCAATAGAAACCAACTTTTAGTACGGTAATTATCCAAAATATGGTAAAAATGATTTTTTTAAACATGTTTTTCCGCCGTGCTTCACTACGTACAGTACGTTACATTTCATCCTGCGTGTATGCCTATTGTATGTATAGGCCTATTATTCTACAATAACTGTATTTATTACTGTATCTGCTTTGTATTTTTTATACTTATGTGTTTTTGACTCTTATTATTTTAATTTAATTTTTTTTTTTAATTTGTATTTGATCCTGTAGTTATGTTATGTTTTAGCCCAGAGACAAATCTAGTTAACTTCTTATGAATAATGTTTTTAAAGATGGTATTTTAAGATGTTTTCTATGAAAATAAATAAATAAATGGCAGTAGTACCGCTTTTTGTGTTTCAATGTATT